GCTGCACAGCATCAGAAACTTCGAAATCTGTTTTCATAATTATCAAGTTCTTAATTTCTTTGAATTACTTGTCACATCGCAAGACTACTGAATTCATGCTACTTATTGCATAAAACACACTAAAAGCGATTTAAATACCTTATTATAATCTTATCGATACACGTATATCGCACAGGCAACGTAACAGTCTTTTTCTGTAACATACTAGTCCGACTATTTTTTACAAATATTGACCTCAAAATTAATTTTATCAGTTCAATTATTACGTAGTTCTTGAATTCCATCCTGAAGCTAGGAAACTGTGTACCATCTTTTGAAAACATTATATTAGGAGAGCAAACTTTTTCAATAATATAAAGCAACTTTAAAAAGTACTTCCAAAAATTGTAATGCAACAGTCCGCTGTTGAAACATTCACAACTCCTAAACCACAGGAGTTACAATATATTTTTGTATATATTAAATAATGCCACATACTTATGCTTTCAGACGCAAGAAGAAAAATTATCCGAAAATTGTATTCTCGCGAGTTTCAGCGGTATTTTAAAATCAGTGTGAGCCAAAATGTAATGTAACAGTCCGCGTTTTGGTCCATATGAACATTAGATGCCTTATTTTGCTAAAGTATTTCAGATCCTCCCTCCGGCAGCAGAATATGAAAATAGGACGCTAAGAACCTAACATAATGGAAAAAAAAAATATTCGTTATTGCAAAAACTAAATGAGCTACTCCGAAATCCGTGATTTGTAAGACTGTTTTGCTGTAGGTTTAGGTTCTTATATGAGAAAACATTCATCTTGCACAAGAAAGAATAAAACAAGTAAGAAAGTCTAAGTTCGGGCGGAGCCGAACATTAAATACCCGGCGCAAGTATTAAATATATGATTTTCACCTTTCCGAAACCTACCGCTAGATGGTAAGCGGGGGTGTATCAATTTTGAGTAAATTAGCGTCCTTAAATTTCGAAATATTGCAGTTTCAAGCATTTTTGAAATTTACCGTTATATGAAAAGCGGCCGTAATTTTAGTTCGATTTCAATAATTTTTAAAGTTTTGCTTTTATGTGGCAAGCANGACGGACGGACGGACAGACAGTCACCGCTTAATCGATTTCTCTTTTCATTCTGATCATTTATGTATACATTTGTCTATATCTATCTCGATTCGTTTTGCCTGTTACAAACAACCGTTATGTGAACAAAGTTATAATACCCTTGTGCACAAGTGCGCTCGGGTATAAAGATATCCAACCTCATGAAGAATAAGCCGCTAAAGCGAATGGCGTACTCAGTTTTTAATACAACTAACCAGAAAGTTACCCACGCGGCCAAAAGTGACTATTTGGTACTATTTTACACGTATTTTCAAATTTATTCGTTAGGATTTTCCTGATCGTAGTAACTTTTCCAAAGTTAAAATACTTAAAATTGTAGCTAATTTAATGCAGTTTTTAAGGAAGCGAACAGATTTTTAATCGAATTATATTTGAACTAGTAAATTAAATTTAAGTGAAGCCATGTTGAAAACCATTTTCCAACTTGACAAACATCATTACAAAATTTAAAAGCCAAAGCAGGCGTGGAAGAAACTGCCGTACTGTGGAATACTTTATCTACATATACTTACGACTGGTAATTACATTACTACTAGCTTGTACCCGCGGGTTCCACCCCGCGCTTTTATACAAATATGAAAAATAATTTAATGACTAAGTTTACCTTAAAATGGTTCCAGGTATACGACGCGTGAACGTGTAACCTTCTTGGCGCTGCCACGGCGGGTTTTAATATTTCCAACTCAAATTTAGTAACCTGGCCTTGATAAAATACCTTTTCTCATTACTGTAGCAAATTCTCCAAGAGAGCTTTAGATTATAAGGCCAAACCCGGCTCTCCCTTTTCCATTTAATGAAATTTATTCTGTCAGTACGGCACTTATAAAATAAATCTCCATAACAAATTTAAAATACTTCGAGAGATTTTCTTTGCTTCCAGAGATATGTACTAAGAAGTTTTTAGTATGTAGCGACATGCCTCCTTTTTTAATAACTCACATTTTTTCCATGAGCAATTCATACATTTTGCATACACAACTCCATACCAAGTTCCAGTATTCTTCCACAAACACTTCCAGGGATATGTGGCAAGAAAAAGTAAATTTGTACTGGAAGTGCCACGCCCCTTTTTCTTATAACCCTAATGTTCTTCCATGAATTTAGAACTGACATTACATACCCCAGTACCAAGTCCCAGTACTCTACCTTGAACACCTTTGGAGATAAGCAGTATAAAACAGTAAATTTTTACGGGAGGAACCATGCCCCCTTTTCGAATAACGCAAATTTTTCTCC